GCCAAGAAGATGCAGCTGCTGTACAGTCACACCCATTCTTTAAACATGTAAATTGGGATGATGTATTGGCGCGAAGACTGGAGCCACCAATCAAACCCATATTGGTAAATATTATTTTTTTCCTATTGTTTTCAAGAATTTGCTTTTAGATTGCCTTGTAGGATTTGTAGGGTACACGAAAGGCTAGGATTTGGTATATCCACACTAGACTATAAATTTAGCAGCGTCCGTTAAAGATTATTTCTCAATACTAATTACATAATGAATTTATGAATTTTGGGCAGTTTTTAGTAGAGAACATATCGCTCATTTGCTTCAATAGTATCACAACTCAAAAAAGCAACACTCGAGAAAGACGGCTTTCAAGTTTTGAATACTCCTATAGTAAAAATAAATACAAATTTTGTTCTAGCGAAATACAAGTATCTTGTAGATGGTCCAAAAGGCGTAGTTATAACAGCGTTGGACCAGAAGTGGTCTCCCGTAATGCAGCGTTGGACCAGAGGTGGCCAGGTTCAATGACATCGCAGTGTTAATGTAACCATATGTTCGGGCAATTTTGGTTACTCTAGTGTTGGTAACAAGGAAGCGTATTTAACCTAGTCCCACTTTTTGCAGGGTACTGGTAATCGATACTGCTTTGAAATTTTGACACAACATAGAAGAAGAGGTAGCGACAATTTCTGCATACTTAGCTCAATTTTTGTATTTTTTGAGTTAACACTATTGATATAAATGAGCAATCTCTATGTATAATAGCTTATATTAAGTAATTTAACCTATGTAGGTATTCACATTTTTCTGGGTGTTAGGTTATTTGGATGAAAATTCAAATTCCCCCAGTGTCTTTTAATAATAATACTAGATTGGCGCTTACACATATGTTAGTGTTTGGCCGAGCTTCTCCTCCGATTTGTGGCGTGCGTCTTGATGTTATCACACAAAGGGGAGGACCTACAGTTCTACGCCGACTCCGAACGGCGATTGTATTTTTATGAGAAGCTATTTTTCATGGCAGAAATACACTCGGAGGTTTGCCATTGCCTGCCGAGGGGCGACCGCTGTTGAGCAAAAATTTTTTTTCTAAATTTTTTGCCATGTTGCTTTGACTAGGGCTTGAACCCTGGCCATACGGAGTGGAAGCGCGCACTGCTTACCACTACACCACAGCGGCCGCCCCGTGTCTTTTATTGTTTGAAAAAAATAATCACATAACCAGATAACCCAATAACCAGGTAAATGTGAAACATGCAATTTACAAAAAAAATTAATTACATTTTTTTTTTGTAAAATACTAACGAAATTTATTTAATTATTTACAGCGAAGTGAAGATGATGTTTCACAATTCGACACAAGGTTTACAAGACAAATACCAGTTGATTCCCCAGATGAAACAACGCTCAGTGAGAGTGCCAATTTAATATTTCAAGTAAGTGTAATACGAACACTGCAAACAACTTAATTTGAAATGTAACAGTACTCTGCATAAACAAAAGTAGGCAAACGCGAGTAACGAGTTAAGAAACAATTTTCTAGATAGGCCGCCTTGTCATCGATTTTAACAATTGCGGATTTTGAGGCTTGCTCGGCCATTGCGCATACAGTTATCCATGAAATAATAGAAGTACGATGTTTTTCTTATTTAATGTTTATTATTTTTTTTATAAAAGTCTAGCCGGTTATACAATAAACACCATATAAATTAAATTTCCAAATTTCTAATCAGAATCTTAAGAAAATATTTTGGTATGTAGTTTTGTAGTTACTTCTAGTATAATATAGTTCAAGTTTCAAGCTGCTAAAAATTCCGCTTATTTTCGGAAATTTTTTTCCATACAGGGTGGCGACGAATAACTGTTACCCAGTTTTTTTTTGGTGAAAAATTAAAAGAGCCTCCATCGATTTTGCTAAACAAGTATTTTATTGTTAATTTTTCACAGATTTTACTTAAATTTTATTAATTGGTTATTAAATTTTAACCTTTATTCGGTTTACCAGCGGTTAACACTGTGAGAGAAAAGCCCAAACGGCACGAAAGTCTTGGTCGGTTAATTTATTCCATATCTTCTGTAACCATAGGCTAATTTCCTCCATTTTGAGTCATTTTTACTCCCTTTTTGTTCAACATAACGCCTCATACTCAGAAATCGAATAGACTCAGAACTGTGGACTTAAAGCGGATCTCCATAGCATGCGTATACGTATGGTCGCGTTTGACAAAAAAATTGAATATGCAAATTTTCATGGTTGCACCTTCATAGCAGCGCCTAAAAATGTAAGAAATTTGTATGAAATTTGACTTCTAAGCATAAATGTCAAATGGAGGTCCGCCTTAAGACAACCATTCATTCCATTAACCCTGTACGTTCCCACGACAGTCGGGTCTACGTAACCGGAATGACCCAGATTTATATCTGGCCAAGGACTTTCACTCCAGCAACACTCCCCAAAAAGTTGTTGGGGAATCTTATGATGTTACAACAACAACAACATGAACCCTGTACAGTTTTTTTTTTTACAAAGCCTAAAGTCATATAAGGAATCTGTGAAATGAGTTTTGCGTGTAAGCGGCTATCCAACGCATAGCACTTCAAATGTAGAAGTCTGTTGGGTTTTGATTTTTACGTAACAAAACAACGCCAAGTATGCATAACTAAGCTATAAGGGTCAAAACCAAGAATGATAGAATACAAGTTTGCGTCATTGAGAGGATGTTTGAGCGTAATTTTTGCGTGACGTCATCTTGGTGCAATTGCGAGATAGAAATGCCAAAACGCATAGGGAAATATGTAAACAATGCGGAAAAATGTGTTAATATCAATATTAAATGGGACAATTTTGCACGAAATTAATAAATATACGAAGTTAAACAGGAACACGTAGCAATGATTTTTTTTTTTGGCGGAGGGGAGGGGGCGTGGGTCTTGATATCTAACCCACTAAAAAGAGCACAGTTCAGACTTTGTAAAACGCTACACCTGCTACACCGCTAAACCTTCCATTTACCCCTGGGGAACCATTGGAAAATGGTCAAAAATTAGTATTTTGACACCGGAAATGTAAACTCGATAAACAGTATTTTTGTGCAGAGCACCTTTCTATAGTCAAAGGTATTCAACATTTCTTGTGCATATAACACATTGGCCCGAAATCACTGGGCAAATAACTAAACCGTACTCAGTTAAATCGTTGTTTGGTTTTCCTCAATCAACAATTGCACCAAAATGACATCACGCACACAGCTGATTCAGTTAAATTCACAAGGAGCGGATTAGCGGTACCGCGATGGACGCAATCTCTATTTCTCTCAATCGTGGGTCAAAACATGGTGGAGCGGCGAGCAAAGCTTGAATTACAAATGTGTATGTACGCTTTGCTCTTCACTATGCATTCTCCTCTTGGAAAAAATACACCTGAAAAAGACTTGCGTGTCGCATTTACTTTTCCCCAAAAGTTTACACTGCTGGCAAAAGGAAATAAGGATTAAAAGGAGTAAAATCTGTGGAGAATTAACAACAAAATACTTTTTTAAAATAAAAAAAAGAATTAATAAAAAAAAATTCTCAAAAATCAATGGGATTTCTTACCAACTCGGAAACTTGCAATTCATGATGCTACTATTTAATGGAAATGTTAGTTTATATGGTTTGTTGTATAACCCGCTGGACTTTTATAAAAAAATAATAAAAGACAAATAGTCAAAACTGGTCAAAATATTACACTCCTATTATTTTGTGGACAACTATACCGACAAGTAAATAAAGAATCAGTTGTTTTCCAGAAATGCCTCACACCTGAGATTACCTAATTTCAAGTGGTACAGGATATCACCCAATATCTATAAAAACTTACGTATTTGAGAACGCGCTTCCGTCATCCCAGCGCTTTACAATATTAAAATATATAATCATATAAACATCGGAATTGATTTAATTCAATGCATATATTGCCTGTTTTTAACTTTATTTTAATGTTTTTTTTGGTTTGTTGAGAACCCACTCGAAAAGTTAAATTTGTTATTAATTTTATTTATACCTATGTAGTTACCAAAACATTTTATTTTTTATGGCAGGGGTTGCCAGTCAGCGGGATAAAAAAAATTTGTATATTCATAAAATACTCTAAGGCTGCAAGTTTTACACTTAATTCTTATATTTTATTAATGATAATACATTTTTGCAATAAATATTAAAATTAACTAGTCTAGCGCTTAAATGTAAATAAACATCAATTAAATTAAGCTGCGTCACACTGGAAATGCGGCTCTTTTAATGGTATACCCGTCGGACCATCGGTGTACTCGCAAAAATTCAAACCAATCCGTCGGAATGGATGACATTTGCTTTTAGGGTTGCCCCATTTACCCTTGAACGATAGCCACGATGGCACCAGAGCGCGTCCTAGAAAGTATTACAATATTTCAATTTAAATTCAGTATACTGCATATTGAATAAAATTCATTAGTTACCATAGGATTTTAGGTTTTCATAAGTAATATCCACCGATTTCCATGTATTCCATGGTGTTCCAAAACCGTTTATGTCATACAGTCGTGCCACTTTGACAAATCGATGTTTACCTGGCGCCGTCCAAAGACCGTGAGAACCCTATAAAACATAGCGATGATGCGTAATTTTGAAAAAAAAGTAATAATACTATTTCAGTTGCCTTACTTTTGCCGCGAATAATACTGGATGGTTATTGAAAGTGGTCACAGTTTTCGGAAAATTCGGTCTTTGTAATATACCCTTGCGTGTTTCTTGTTTCTTAAACTCAAATGATCCGGTTAAGCGATTGTATGAGTAATATGCGCCCGCATCATGAGCCGAAACATACATTGCTTCTGGTTCAGCATCACCTGTGAAATATAAACTCATATGTTCCCAGTCCCCAATGTGACTGCCAATATCTTTGCGGCGTCCCAAACAGAAACCATAAACTGCCGGAAATGGTATGCTACCGAGTGGTCCCAGGCTGATAGTGCACATTGTTTTGCCCTGAAACGTATGAAAAAAAAAAAAACAAATACACTTTAGTTTAATATAAAAATCTAAATTTATTTCACCAAACCTGACTATATGGGTAAAACATCCAGTAGGTCACATGAAAACTAGGCACTTTTCTACGCCGCTTTTCACTGCTTTGGCCACCAGCATCATTAAAAATAGGACCCGGTGTGGCAAGTCGTTCGAAGTTGCTGTCTATATCGATGTTATTATCCTCCAATAGCTCTTCGGTTGGCATACTAAATTTTACATTGTCCGCCAAATTGGCTATAAAATTGTTCACTTGTCCGCTGTTGTCCGCTTGCGCTGGCGAATCTGTGGTTGGTATTTCTGCGACGGCACGATTTTCATTCTCAGCGTCAATCGGACGACTCTCGCTCAAGACAAGATCTTCATAAGGCTCCACCACTAATCCCTTCGGTGGTAAATTGAATATAATTGCCGGCGGTGAGGCAGGAAGTGGAGCCAATGGTAAATTGTGAGGTGGAGTATTTCGGCGAACACGTTTGAATACTGGATACAGGCGTGATGAACGACGCACTGTGTCATTATGCACATCAAATGGATCAATAGAAACGGGTATATAAGGACCGCGTGTGCTACTAATTGGTATTGCTGCCCCAAGGGGCAGCGGAGAGTTGTGGAAACTAGTTGTTGCGCTACCACTGGGATTGAAATTCGATGGACTTGTAAGTATTAGGTTTTTTTGTTGAGCAGTATTCAATTGTGACGGTTGTGGCGTTGGTGG